TCCCATTCCTATTTTTCAAGCAGCAAACTTGTTAAACTAAGTCAAACTCTACCTTTAGTTCAAAAACAGGTGTGTCGATGGTCTCGGCTCCATGTCGTTTAAAGCAGCGGATGATGGTGTTGAAGACTTTTTCTCTGATGGCCATCTGTTTGGGGTTGTAGTCTCTCGTTCCCTGACAAACACACATTGTCAATCAAATAATTCTATTGTGAGAATATGTATGAACTTGTTGTTTGTTGTCATTCTTTTGTTCAGCATCCTCTTTGTAACAGATTTCACTGTGCGGTAACCAATAACCACTCAGCTGTTCGGAGAATGAACATTGTTGCCTACCAGAGGTTGTAAATGCTCGCTGTCCTAGGCCTGGGTGACTGAATCCATGTAACTTTTTACATTAAAAAGAAATCTAACTTAGAGCCACTGGGGTTGTAATACACCATTGGAAAGCTTACCATACATACATTTTCTGGTCCTCTAGAAGAGATGTGATTGATTAAAGGATAAGCAGATCCACATAAAGCATCATGTACTTTGATGACACAATTTGGGGTAGTCTGATCCTTGCATTTTTGACTACCGACACTAAAGTTTGATTTGTTAAACCCACTCTTATGAAGGGGTTCTTTGATCTGATCTTTGGTAACAAGCTATCTAGAGCTATTATATTTTTTTTAATTATAATGCAGCCACTTGGTGCCAATGATCTCACAGACAGGCTTCTCTGTAACCAAAGCTATGCCTGCTTCTACTTACAATAAGCTTTTAAACAAATGGTATGTGCCCAAATATAAAGGTAGCAGGTACTTTGCCATTGAGAGCTCCTTTTATTCCACCAAGTCATGCTGAGATCGTAAGATAAGCTTTACACATGTGACATAAAGTTAAATGGTTGTGTTTGTCTTGTCCTAATACAGACGATACCAGGCCTGTGCCACAGAATGTGTTTTTCCTTTCTATTCAATTCAATTCAATTTTATTTATATAGCGCCAAATCACAACAAAAGTCGCAAAGAACATGCTGTACATATTCTGTAAATATAAAAGTGAATTTCCTTAAATACAACAATACTTTAATCTTACCTTTGGTGTTTTAAGGACAAATTGGGTTTTGCCATCATCTCCTAACCGAGCCTTTAGTTCCAGCAGTTTAGCTACCTCTTCATCAATCTGCATGAGAACACAGAACAACATATAAAGTGTTCAGAGGTTTTATACTGTATTTAACAACTGTAGTGTGAAAAATTATGAATACATCTTGTCAAATAAACACATGGACAGCAGCCTACCTGAGCCACAGTGATCCCAGGGAAAGAGTGAAGAGATCGGACACATGTGGGAGCCCGAAAGCCCACCAGAGCGGAGCAGGCACGAACCCAGATCATGCCCAGCATGGTTATTCCACAGTGCAGGAAAATGGTATGGATTTAAAAAAGTAAAAGTAGACCAAAAAAAAA